CGGCTCCCCACTTATGTAAATGAAGCCTGGGAAATTCAAATCCCGGGCTTCATTTGCAAGTGCGGTATGCCTACATTACCTTCCTAGTTCGAACTCGTAGGGTAGTGTAGACATACCCTGAGGGAAGTGAGGTGTGGGAGAATAAAACTGAGCTCTGGAGAAATGTTTGGCTAGAGTTTCCCCTACAATATGTACCAGTTCCGACTTACATACAAATTCAACTTAAGAACAAACCTACAGTCCCTATCTTGTACGTAACCCGGGGACTGCCTGTATAGGCAGTTAAAAGATGGGCATGATGAGCTATAAGGAAAATATAAATGATTTATTTAATTCTAATTTTCAAAGAAATTTCCAAAAGGAAGAGGGTTTTTTCCTGCTTTTGCTTTAACGCATATCCCTTCAGGGAGACATGTAAAATAAAATAGCAATAATAGAAGAGTTCTTTTGCATGTTGGATGTTGATTTTCATTTTATGGAGACAGTGATCTGCAAATCAATCTGAATTTCCCCACATTCCATAAACCTTCCCGTCTTTTCCTTAGAGCAACATAAGGCATTACATTTATGATGTTAGAAATGTATTAGTTTTGATATATTTTATCTGTCAAAAACAAATTAAGATTGGGCTGATGAGGCAGATTCTTTACTCTCTCAGTCCACTGACTGATAGCAATCAGAGCACTTACTAAATAGAAATACTTGCTAATAGCATAGGGTATGTCTACACAACAAAGTTAATTCGAACTAACGGACGTTAGTTCGAATTAACTTTGATAGGCGCTACACAAGCGCTCCGCTAGTTCGAACTTCAGCTCAATGGTGAAAAAAACAAATAAAATGTTAGGGTGTGTAAAGAACAGTCTGGGTAATATCATGATGCTATTATATAAATGAATGATACATTCTCACTAGCAATATTGTGTTCAGTTATGGTAATTCCATCTCAAAATATGTATGCAGAAATGTTGAGAGTTTAGAGGTAGACTGTGAAAGTTATTAGAGTCATAGAGTCACTTCCATACACAAAGCAACTGAAAGGGTTGTCATTTGTTAGAGAGGAAACAAATAAGAAGGGATGTGATTGCTGTTTATAAATTAACAATTGATTTGAAGAAGTCATGTCCATTTTACTCCTTTTAATGATATAAGAAGAAAGGTCAAACCAGTGAAACAGAAAGTAAACACAGTTTGAATTGATGAAGGGAAATGTTTCTTAACACAGTGTATTATTTATTAATCTGAGGAATGCATTGCCACTAGATAGATGTGAGGCCACAAGCTGAGGAGGATTCAGAAATACAGACATGTCATACATGAAAATCTTCTGGTTTGTTATTTTAAAATAAAAAAATGTATAAAAGATACAATCCCTCGTGCTTCACACACAAACTAACCACTAACTCATAGGGGTGTAGATTTAATCCATAGATTTTCATTTTGGAATTTCTTGTACCTTTCTTTGGATCAGCTGGCAATGGTGACTCGGAGACAAGATACTGGATTAGAAGAAACATTGGTCTGACCCAGCGTGAGGATGCCTGTGATCCTAAAAAGGTGTCATGGGAGCTAAATATCTCTATTGTGTTAAAAGATGTGCTCTACAGGGAGGTGTACATTAGATTTATTTATTCCTCCTCCATTACTGAGTTTCTGCCTGGAGCAGGTGAGTGGGAACTAAGGGCTTTTGAGTAACATCAGATATTTTCATTCTTAACACTTGCCTATCTCTAACAAACTATCCTTCTCATTCCTGGATTTGAATCTACCTTGTATTTTAAACTCCTCCTTTAAATTGGCACCTAGGACTTCATTGGTACAATAATCTGTTCCCACTTCTAATTAACACTATTGTGTTGTCATCTATATTCTCCAGCATATTAGAAGAGATTAATATTTTAAACTAATATTGCAAAACACTGCATTAACAATGAAAGGGCAATTCCTAAATTTGGAACACTGGAATATGTGTTAAGAATTCTTGATATTGTTTTGAGCTTCTTATGTATCAGGTACTAAAATCAAATTTCACATTTCTATCACAACTTGCATGACAGAAAAGTACTCTGAAATCTATGAAAGTGCTATTATGTATTGCTACCATTCCCAGAGAATGTGCAATTTCATTATTTCATTTGTTTTCATCAAAGCACATTTATTTGAGTGCAGAAGAATGGAATGGAATTACTGTTTTGTGGGCTGCATTGCAGAACATTGTATAAATCCAGTGCTGTAAGAACCAGGACATGCTGTACTTTGATGGATTCTTGGATCACTACCTGTGGCAAGGAATTATTAACTTATTGGTCCTATCAGTTTCTACTTTGTTTGCTGCTTGTAGATATAGAGCCTTTCTTGTAAAAGTGTCACTTCTAAATTTTTAGGAAAGAATTATATTATATAGTCTCTCTGTGTGCTAACACAAATAGGTCATCGTCAGAGGAAGCCTGTCTCATATTGGGAAAATAATTTTGTTTTGTAAAAGGCATGATCCAGAAACTCTTACACATGTACAAAAGGTAATTACATCAGTTACTCAATAAGTATTTTATATAACTATCTTGGGGATAAAGTGTGATCCAAACATAATTGACTTCAGTGACAGTCATTTTCCATGGGATCAGGCCCACAGGCATTATTAGTAATTTTTTCTGTATTTTAATATTACATAATCATTGTGGTGATGTTTATAAACTAAGTAGCTTTTCATCCTCTTGATATTTTAGTTTTGGCTTTCCATAGAGTGCTATATAGATTTTTGATTAAACATACTCACTATGTAGCACTTGCAGCGGCTTTGGATTTAATTTGAAGTAAATTGTGCTCAAGCTACTTAAAAAAGAAACCCAGGACTCTATGTTCTATGGAAGTTATGTTAAAATATTTTGATTTTCAGTGTCTGTCATAGAAATAGATTAGAAATATATTCACCGACATATTAAAAAATTAATAGCTTTATCTACCACACATGTATAGTCACTTCTAGGGTGAAAAACATCAACTGTTCAACAGGACACAACTCTGCATAAAATTATAGGGAACAAGAAAGTATCCTATTGTTTTAAAAAGTGGAGGAGGGAATTTTAGGCAGACCAACCTGGAATTTGGCAAGAATATTGGG